AGTTGGTCTTCTGGCACTTCTTCCAGATGAAGTAAATCTTTTGTGTTACTGGTAGGCCGGTCAAAGACAAAGCACTTCCGTTGGGGAAAGAAACGCCTGATACACTCTCTAGGCATGTTGGAATTGCGGATTTGGGGGTTGGTTTCTGTGGAATTGTAAAAAGAGTGCCCAGTCAAGAGACTAACGGTATGCAAGGGCCAGGGCTGAGGACTGTTCCGAGGATCACTGCATCAGTGCAGCTCCCTGTTGTGTAAATCTATTTTTATCCAGTCATACAAAACAGCTTGATTCTACTCTCAAGGCATGGAAAACCCACTGTTGTACAGGGTGAGAAGCAAGAATGTACTTTTGAAAAGAAAAAGGAGGCACACATGACAAGTAAAAAACTTATGGTTGGATTCCTCAGTCCTTGAATGGTGGCTGGGAAATAGATGATTTCTTAAATGTTTTTTGAGTGATTGATTAATCACACAATTTGTCAGAAATACCTTTCTGATATGACAGTCCCACATTAGAAATGGAATCTGGGGCTGAAAGCAAACTAATGCTACAAAAGGATAAAATGATGTTGGAAATGATCTCATGAGAGTCACAGAAGATACCCATGTTAGTAAAGAAAAATGGATCAAATTCAGAGCCAAAAAATTATGAACACCATAAATAAAGGTTTTTTTGGTATATTTTTATTGAGACAGAGTCTCACTATGACACCCTTGGTAGAGTGCCATGGCGTCACTCTAGCTTAGATGACTGAGTGAGACTCTGTCTTTAATTAAGTAAGTAAGTAATTAAGTGAGTCACTAAACTTATGGTAATTTACTCTTGGGCTTAAGCAATTTTCTTGCCTCAGCCTCCCAAGTAACTGGAACTACAGGTGCCCACCACACTGCCCAGCTATTTTTTTGTTGTAGTTGTCATTGTTGTTTAGCTGGCCTGGGCCAGATTCGAATCTGCCAGCCCCAGTATATGTAGCCTAGAGCTGAGCTACAGGCACCAAGCCAGCACCCTAAATATGTTTAGAGAACACTTTAGCAATAAAGTCCAGAGTACAGTTAATCTAAATGGAATTTGGAGAATTCTTCACTTTTCTCACTTTTCTATGTCAGAATTGGATTTGACATTGTCATCCAGAGGGATTCTGTGGCTACTCTCATCTTTTCCAAATAAAGGCTTGTTGAAAGGATGAATAAATGAATGAACAAAAATTGATTCCAGATAGTCATCGGTTGTCTACTCCACTAAATGTAATCCATGTAATAACTTTATGATAGATTGACAACAGCTTGTATAAGGCTGTAGAAAAAAGGTGATATTACAGAAATGAAAAATGAAGGATTTGGCAGTCTCGTTAGAAGCACATACAAGTGTCATTTTACTTATTTCAAAATCATTTAGTATATAAATATCCTTTTCCCTGATCATTTAACTATCCAGGTTGGTAAGAGATACTGAGTAAAATGTATTTTCAAAATTTTGTCATTTCATTTCTTATGATTCTGTGTTTCCCTACATACAAACAGATGAACTGTTTTTTTTCTTCACATTGAGTAAGAGGAACACTTAGATGTAATGAGTAAAATAAATATGTGAGCCTTAAGACATGAAAGCATTGATGGCAATGCTGAAGGGTTTCTTTCATGGTGCTGACTGGTCTCAAATCACTTGAAAGAACATTAAGTCCTAAATGTCCTCAGTGAATTTAAATGCCAGCCTCTGGAAATTTTCAGGTGGTAATGATCACAAAACCCCAGCCACCTGTCCATCACATATCACCAATCACCATTATCAAGGGCCTCACACCCATCTCCTGAAAACATTGATGTAAGCTGCTGAATGACTGGGCTTATTTAATCCCATCCCTCCCTACTGAAACTTCCCCTCCCCAGGCCACCATCTGATACCTGGAATCAGCTTCAAGGCGTTCTCTAGGTACTCATCTTCTGTGATGACATGTTCATTTAACTTCAGTTCCAATGCAAAATCCCGTACAGTCCAAATAAAGTCTGGGAAAAAACTTACAAACTCAGCAGCACTCCCTGCTTCCTCAGTTCCTGGGGAAGATTTTGTCTTGATTAGCTTTGTTAGTTCAGTCACGTAGCTGAAGTCTTAGCTAAGGAACGAGAAGCAACCTACCCAAGAACCTCCTCACTGCCCCTACACAGAAAGTTTATAAACATTGCCTTTGCCCCATGTCCATTCTTACTCAACAAGGACAATGGAGCCCTAGCCAAGAAGACTCAGTGTCAGTTTCCATTCTGATAAACTCAGTGAACATTCTGGAAGGATACTGCAGCTGCTCCAGGGCCTGGTGGTTGATGGTGTGCATGCTGTTGTAGACAAAGGTGCTGCTCAGAAGCACAGCCAGGGCAAAGATCCACGAGTCATTCTTAGGGTCACCCTACAATGCACATTTGAGAATAGGATTTAGGAGACTACTCTTCATTCATTCATAAGGTTGTTTATTCACTCTTCAGCTGTACTGTAGCTGAGTAACAGGGAAAACTGGAGAGCCTCATGCAGAAGAATGAAACTGCCTCCCCGTCTCTCACCATATACAAAAAATAACTCAAGGTGAATTAAAGACTTAAAAGTAAGGATAAGAAACTATTAAAATATGGGAAGGAAACCTGGAGAGACTATCCTTGACATTGGCCTAGGTAAAGAATTTATGGTTAAGTCTTTAGAAACCAATGATACAAAAATAAAAATAAATGGGGCTTAATTAAACTTAAAAGGTTGGACAGCAAATTAATTGTTGAACAGAGTTAACAGATATCCTGCAGCAGTGATTTTCAAGGAGTGTGCTGTGGCATGCCAGTGTGCCATGAGAGGATCTTAGGTGCACCACAAAAAATTTTAAGATCATTAATTAAATTATTTTCAAAAGAAGTTCAAAACTCAGTAAGAATATTCTTTTTTTTTTACTCTTTTTCCTTTTTTTGATCAACATAATTTAAGTGTGCCATGGAAGTTTCCCTCTGGGTTTAAGCATGCTGTTGATACCGGAAAAGTGGCGCCCCAGCCAGCTCAGCTGAGTGGGGCTTGGGGACCTGCCACCTCTGTCTTGGTGGCAGCAGCCGGCAGAGGAACTGGCAGGTTGGAGCAAGTGGATGGGAACTTCCCTCCCCCATTGGAGGCTCCAGTAGGCAAAGGAACTGGACAGAGCAGGGGAAAACACTGGCAATTCCTCCAATGCATCCCTGATTGGTCCATTTTCAATCCTGCCCTTGATTTGTCTATTTTTAGGAGAAAATAGACCAATCAGCTCAGCTTTAAGCTCATTGGACAACTGCCCCTATATAAACCCCTGAGTAAAGAGCCTAGGGGCAGATTGTTGCAGACCTTCGAGGAAGAGAGAACAGGAGAGCAAAGACCTCAGCAGATTTCTGCAGACCGTTGAGGGAGAGAGAGCAAAAGAGGAAGAGCTGTAATACTTGCATTCTGCTCTGCAAGGAGGTTTGGCTCTTTGTAAGAGCTGTAACACTTGACTTGCATCCTGCTCTGCAAGGAGGTTTGGCTCTTTGTAAGAGCTGTGACACTTATTATCTTATCCTGCTCTGCAAGGAGGTTTGGCTCTTTGTAAGAGCTGTGACACTTATTATCTTATCCTGCTCTGCAAGGTTTGACTCTTTGTAAGAGCTATAATGATATCTCTATAAATAAAACCTAACTAACTGTCTATCCTGTGGTCCATCGATTCATTCATTGAATCGTCGAGACCAAGAGCCTGGAAATTCAGTATCAAAAGTCCGGTATCACTGTAAGGTAAAAAAGGTTGAACAACACTGTCCTAAATAATGCGAGAAAATACTTGAAAACCATACATCTGAAAAATGACTAATATTCAGAAACTATGAAGAACTTAAATCAGCACAAAAATACATAATCCCATTAAAAAGTAGACAAAAGACATGAAGAGACTTTTTTCAAAAGAAGATAAACAAATGACCAGCAAGCTTATGAAAACACGCTGGACATTACTAGTCATCAGGGAAATACAAATCAAAACCCAAAGAGATACTGCCTTACTGCTTTTCAAATGTCCATTATTACAAAGTTAACAAATAACAGATGTTGACATGAATGCAGTAAAAAGAGAATTCTCATCTTTCTGGTAAAAATATAAATTAGTACAACCTCTATGAAAAATAGCATGGTGATTTTCAAAAACCTAAAAGTAGATGTACCATTACAGGGGATCTACCAAAAGGAAAAAGTCATTTTATAAAAAAGGCATTTATCACAGCATAATAAACAATTACATGTTCATGGAATCAACCTACGTGTCCATCAACTGACATTTGGGTAAAAAGTGGTATAAACTCACAAACACACACATATATGCACAGCATGGAATACTACTCAGATATGAAAAAGAATTGAACAGTATGTTTTGCAGCAACTTGGATGGAACCGGAGGCTATTATCCTCAATGAAGTAACCCAGGAACAGAAAGACCAAGTACCACATGTTCTCACTCCTGAGTCAGAGCTGAGCAATGGGCATGCACGACAGATTGACTTAATAAATCCTGGCGACTCACAAGGGGGAGAGGAAAGAGTAAAGGATAAAAAAAATCACCTGTTGGGTATGATGTACAGAGCTATTCAGGTGATCGGTACAAAAAGTTCCCATTAAATTCTCTATACAATTCCAACATGTAATAAAAACAATTTTATCTCTATATCTATTAAAATGAAATTAAATACACACACACACATACACAAAAGATAAGGATTTTGAAACCAGAATAAGATCTTCAATATTTGAAAAGCAGTTTTCTTCATAGGGAAGAGTCACACTCTTCTTTAAGATTCTCTGCCTTACCTTTTCCACATCTCCCAGGCCCTCAGTGTCCAGAAGGACCAGGGTCTGGTTCAGCTTGGAGGGGTGGGGAACACACCACATCCAGATGCCTTTGGTTTCAGACCTTATAGTGGAGCCCAGAGGGAAGCCTGCAAGGGAAGGGAAAAAGCAACAGTGACAGCAGGCAGACCAGGGGATACAGGGGTTACAGTGGTTAAACTGGTAGAAAAGTAAGTGCCAGGTGAGGGGAAAGGGTTGCTTCAATTTCAGCAAAAACAATCAATCCAATCTTCATATATATACACACACACTTAGGAATTCCTCAAATTTGTTCTCTTTCTTACCTTGTTTACTAGACTGAGTTTGCTACTCAGCTGCTGAGTAGCAGAGGAAGTGAGAATAAAGGGATAAAATAGCTACATGGTTATTAAAGACAGGATCACTTAACAGAACCATAGGGAGATTGTCTTAAAAGTTCATGAGAACCAAAAGAGACAGCCTGGTAGGAGTAAAATATATGTCACAAAATAGGAAATACAAATGGAGAATACATATGTGAAAAGGTACATAAAGTTATTTATAGTGGAATAAATAACCCTAAACTCTATAAGGTACAGATCCACAAAAGTTAGTAAAATGTTACTAAATTTTTGTAGGATGTGTAGAATCTCAATTGCTGCTTATAAGTACATAAATTGCATATAAAGTTTCAAAAGCTGTTTAATGCTACTACCATAGGTTTGAAGACACTCTCTGATCCAGAAATTTCACTTCTGAGCATAGTACACAAAGGAATTTTTATACACGTCCATCAGGAGGGAAATCCAAGAATATTCACAACTGCCTTATTCATTAATGACAAAAACTGGAAATAATACCAATGTTCATAATTGTCAAATGAATCCTCCAACAGTACATACTATCCATTAGCAAAGTGAATAACTTTCAGATGTATATGACAGGTATAGGAAACTTACAAACTTCTTATTGAATAAAAGAAGCAAGGCACCCAAGAACATGTAAAATATAATTACCATTATATAAAATTTTAAAGGAAGAACCATTTTTAAGAAGTGAGAGTGGATGAAGTGTGCTGACGACCAAAATCCAGGGGGACTCTAGTGAAGATGTGAGAGGGTTTGATTTGGGGGCTGTACAGTTGGTAATGTTTTAAATCTTGATGTGGAGAGTGATTACACAGGTGTATTCACTAGCTTTGTCTCACACATATAGTATATGTACTCTTCTCCACATGTCGTAGTTCACATACTAGAAAGACTAAATAGAGAAAGAGAAGGGGGCATAATTTATCAAAATTTAGGTATGATATGGAGCAAAAAAAAAGGACCATAGTTCAATTTATGTATGAAATATACAAGGATACTACTGTCTGCTCTTCTGCTCATCCATTTTTATAAACAGGATGTATTAAATTACATTTGTGTGCTTGAGCAAAAGAGGTATAAGATAAAGAAAAGGAACCCCTGCAGCAGCTGAGCTCTTGAGCAGGTGAGAGTGGATGGGATAGAGAAGACCAGAAGAGCACATCCTTTGATAGGATTATTAGAATTATCCACTACTGAACAAGAATGAGATTTTGTGAACATCTTGGGGTTATGATTATAAATTTGGTGGGGATAATTAGAAGTTTTCTTCATAGAGAAGAGTCACTCTCTTCTTTAAGATGATGCTAGGGGAGATGTGATCTGCTTGTGTTATCCCTGGTTCTAAGGAAACAGCTCCTGCACCAGGACTCCACTCACCCTGCTTCTTTCCTGCAAGACGATTCATGAGGTAGGATTTTCCTGTACGATATAGCCCCACAATGGCCACCACCACCACAGGCTCAGAAATGTTTTCCAGAATCTGTAATGCATTTGGATTCACCATCATCTTCTCTTCCAAGTTTTCTACCAGACAAATGGGGGCCTTCATGGTGGATTCAGATGCCATGGTAACCTGCAAACCCAGAAATACCACTCAGCACAATGCAAGAACCTGGAGTTATCTGCAGTGGTTACCCAAAGCCCATGCCTATCTGCTTTCTGCTCGCAGAAGGTACACATCCTTTGTTTTGTATGTTTCCTAAAGATGTTAAATGTAGGTCAAAGAAAAATAATCAAGAGTCAAACTTTTAAAAAAATTATTTCAGATTAATATGACTACAAATGTTTAGGTCACATTGTTTGCATTTCCGAAGCAAAGTTTAACTTGTTGTTGCTCCCTTCATCCAGGGGGTACGCTGCATACCCTTACACTGTGCACATTAAGTGAGAGGTCACCAATCCTCCTCCTTCCTCCCCTTCTTTGGCTCTTCCCCCCATCCCCCATGTGAATATACTTGTCATTTTCTTTCATATGGGCATGTAGCTGTTTTTCTATTGGTTTCATATAGAGTACATTGGATACTTGCTTTTCCATTCTTGTGATACTTTACTAAGAAGAATGTGCTTCAACTCCATCCAGGTAAGCACAAAAGATGTAAAATCTCCACTTTTTATGTCTGAATACTATTCCATGGTGCACATACACCACAGTTTGTCAATCCATTCATGGGTTGATGGGCATTTAAGTTGCTTACATATCTTGGTAATCATGAAGTAAGCTGCGATAAACATTCTAGTGCAAATGTTCTTGTGATAAAATGATTATTTTCTTCTGGGTTAGATACCTAGAAATAGGACTGCATGATCCAATGGAAGGTCTACTTTCAGTTCTTTAAGTATTCTCCACATTTCTTCCCATAGAGGAGATATTAGTTTGCAGTCCCTCCAACAGTGTATGAATCTGACAAAGAGAATGAGCACTAGAATCTGGAGAGAACTCAAATTAATCAAGAAAAGAGCAAACAATAAGTGGAAAAGAGACTTGAAAGAAACTTACCTAAAGAAGAAAGAGGATAGCTAGAATCTACAGAGAACTCAATCAACAAGAAAAAAGCAAAAAATACCTTTTGTAAGTGGGCAAGAGACTTGAACAGAAACTTACCTGAAGACAGACCAATGGTCAACAAATTTATCAAAAAATATCCAGGTCCCTAATCATCAGAGAAGTGCAATTCAAAACCACTGTGAGATACCACCTAACCCCAGTGCGAAGAGTCAAACTTTCAAGGACTGAAATTGCCCACCATAAGGGTCTTTTCAGTTTCTCCATTGCCAGAGGGGTAGCCAGGGAAAGTGTGAGAAAGGAAAAGGGAGGAAACCCTCCGCCCTCTCAGCAGTGTGAGAGTGCGGGAGCTGGACGGTGGTCCCTCCCGGGAGAAAGGACTTCAGCCCAGTTCAGCAGAGGAGGGTGGGATATGGGCTTTTCTTTCACCCTCTAGTTTGGCCTCTACATTACTTGTGCAGAGTCTTCCCTTGGGAATTCATTCTTGGATGTTTGTTCACCCAAACATACATGAAAAGTAAACTTGGGGCTGGGTGCCCACAGCACAGTGGTTACAGCGCCAGCCACATACACCCCGGCTGGCGGGGGTTCGAACCCAGCCTGGGCCAGCCAAACAACAATGACAACTACATCAACAACAACAAAATAGCTGGGCATTGTGGTGGGTGCCTGTAGTCCCAGCTACTCAGGAGGCTGAGGCAAGAGAATCACTTAAGCCCAAGAGTTGGAGGTTGCTGTGAGCTGTGACGCCATGGCGCTCTGCTGAGGGCAACAAAGTGAGACTTGGTCTCCAAAAAAAAAAAAAAAAGAAAGAAAGAAAGAAACGCTGGGGAGCGACCTTACCTGGCGGTGGGGCAGACTCAGCAGCCAGAGGACAAGTTGTCAGTTCTCAGCAGCCCTTGTCACTCCCCAGTTTTCTTCCTGAGTCAGCCTTAAAGAGCATCAGGAAACCTGCTCTTCTCAGAAGCTGAAAGCGGGCGGGGTCGTATAATGACACCCGAAGGGCTGGAGGGAAGAAGCCAACTGACAGCAAAAGCACAAGCTTTTGGGGGAAAGTAAACGGCTGGCTTTTTTATTATTTTTCATTTTCTCCTCTCTCTCTCTCTCTTTCCCCCCCTTGTTTTACTGAGGCAGAAGAGGTGGGAGAAAAGTGTCGTCCCCTCCGCACCAGGACTCTGAAACCCAGGTTTGTCCCTCTTCCACCCTTGGCTCCAGCCCCCAAATGAACACAGAGCACCAGCTGTGGGTGGAAACACAGGAACAGATTCAGGGTGTTGCAACAGCCAGTTCATCAGGGTTAACTGTGTCAGAAAGGAGTGTGGGGTTTTGCTTCACTTGGTCGAGTGTTTCTGTTTCTCATCTCCTTTTGTTAGTTCTTGTCATTAACTGTAAAAATACGTATGTGTGTGTTTGTGTCTATGTTACAAAGATTAAAATTGGAAGGAGGTTTCTAAAGTGGTAACTTTAGCTTGCGTAACTGAGTACATATTGTCAAAAAGTAAGAAACACAAAAACATAAATATGGTTTTAGTCCACACTGAATTTTTGAACATCTTTAATTTCTGGTATACTCATAGTTCATTCTATAGAATTGTGTAAATTTGAATACCAGGGAGTCAGACCAGTAGAGCTTATCATGCTGGTTCCTATATTCTGACATTGAATTAGGTGGGGGGATAAGCCCATCCTCTTTCTTACCTATGTGAATCCAATTCTCAGCAGATACTACACACTAAATAAATAACTTGCCAACTTGAATTGCTATGCAGCTCAGTGTTATGTCTGAAAGGTTAAATATAAATGCTATAGAAAATGCAATAAAATAGTGAGGATGGTTTGCTATCATCTGGCTCAGAGGATGAATAAAATGGGAGACTGAGAAAAGCAGGGCACAGAAGGTGAAGCTCTCAGAACACCAATATTCTGAGTGTAACTGCAGGTATAATGGGATATGAATGAGGAAGATGAACAGAAGTAGTCAGAGAAGGTTCTAGGATTTTTTGGAGAGCACATGTCTCATTAGCCTGCCAGGATGAGTGTGAAGAAAGAGAAAGTGATTAATGCTAATTGCATGGGGAGAGTACACGGAGGAGGACCAGATGTATTTTTAGATTTGTTGATATTGGCTTATTAACAGATGTATGTTGAGATCTTGGCATGCCCTGCACTGGGCTAGGTTCTCAGTGCCCAGCAGTGAACAAAATGGATAGAAACTCCTGCTTCATGTAGTTATTACCTTAAAGGAAAGACACATGATAGAAAAATAAATAAGAAAACTATGTGTATGTGTCTACATATATATGCAGTATCTGTATACACACACAGACCAAAACGTGTTAAGTGCTTTGAGGTCACGTGGCCAGGGAATGGCGATATGGGGTAATGGGAGTTGACTTTATATATAGGGCAGTCAGGGAAAGGCCTCCATGTGAAAGAGACAAAGTGGAGGTGATTATCCACCTTGATGAGAACAATCATAGTGAATTGATGGGGAAGGAGCAAGATAGATGGAGAAGTTATGAAGAAAGAAGGAAGAACAGACAAAAAAATGAACGTTTCTAACCATAATATAGGACATATCTTTATAGTGGCTAGGCAAAAATGGGAGTTTAGGAAATAATTTGTTGACCTGGAAGAAAGGACATTTTCTGTTCATTGGGTGACAGAAGTGTGTCTGAGGGCTTGCCCGCAGTGGACAGAGTTCCTCCATCTGGATGAGGCTCTACTTTAGATTTTTTCATATTTATGAGTAAGCAGTTCATGACCCCAAGACACAGAGGCCATCAGAGTGTTTCGATTGCCCTTTTATTCTCTCTACGACATTAGGAAGCAGCACACCGCTTCCAACCCTCTTCCCAAGATGGGTTGACTTTGAACCATCATTCATCAATCCTGGAGCCCAGGTGAGCAGAGCTCTCACACGAGGCTATGCCTACAAGGCAAAGCTGAGATCTCTGGGCACAGCTGAGCCTCTGCTTCACACAGGGGAGGCATGCTGGCCACCTCTGGGTAATTACTGTGAGTCTGTGTAGGACCCACGCACAATGCTGTGTCATCTGCGGCAGGATAAATGGTGATAGGCAGTACCAGCTCTCATATCTCATTTGAGACACTAAATGAAGTATTACATAGCAAGCTAGTATAATTTCTGGATGAAGACTGCCTCCTCCATAATTTTTCGGTGTCGTATTTTCTGTCTACCTTTTTGAGATTAGATAACATTTTTCATTTGTTTTCTAAAATTTTCAGCTAATAAAATGGGTTGCTTGAAGGCATTGATAATAATGAAAAAGAACTTCAGTAGAGCAAAAGTAGAGCATTAAAAAAATTGATCAGAAGTGAGAAAAACAGGGAGAAAAATGTAGAATAAATAAGATTATGGATCCCAGAAAGGGAAGCATGACCAATAAGCTGAAGTCCTCACAATGCATACAGTGTATTTGAAACCCAGTGTCTGGGTTCAGATCCTAGATCCATCCTTTACTGGCTGAGAGGAACTTGTTCTCTGTGCCTTAGCTTCTTCATCTATAAGATGAAAATATTCATAGTAACTACCTCATTAAGTCATGGGAGAATTAAATATCTTGTAATATTCATGGCCTTACCTAAAACATGTCTGATACATAAGTATTGTGAAATATTTGTCCTAAACACACACACATATGTATGCACACACATGGTGTCCATAAAGTTCATGTGCAATGTAAAATAGTGTGCCAGACTGTATGGACACCCTGTGTATGTCCATGTATTAGGAGGCATGAAGGAAGGAATGCCAAATGAAGGTGAAGGACTGGCTTAAGACAGGCACAGCAGCATGTCTCCCAACCAGGAGTCAGTGGGGTATGAAGGACACCAGGACCTGCACAAGCAAAGAATGGGGCATCCAATGAGGAGGAAGGGCAGAGGGGCAGGAGCCCATGGAGGAGGAATCAGGCAAAGGACACCCAGAACAGCCCAGGGATGCCACAGCAGAGATTCAGGAGTCAGGCTTCCAGGGATCTAATCATGTATTACCTTTGAAAGTTTACAAGAGGAATTGACCTCTGCCAACCTCGATTTTCTTATCAATATTATAAATTTTTCTGTCTGATTCACTACTGTACAGGCTAATAACAAACAGGACATCAATACGTTATTTTCAATTTTCCAGAGCTACTCTACTCATTAACTGTAATGAGTTAATATGTGCCAGTGTATCCTGTAAACTGCATATTACCAAATAAACCAAGTTAATTGAGAATAATTTTGTCAGGAAAAAACACCACCCGGTTTCTCCCCATTGAAATTGCAGCATCCTTTTCTTAGAGATAATTTTGAGGATGCTTTGGGCAAATGTCAAGCAGCTTACAATGTTCTATTTTCTTTTCCCTTTTTATTTGAATTATTTTTCATCTGCAGGGAGGACTGAGGTAACCCAGGCAAGAAGTTTTCAAAACTCAATTAAAGAAACAGAATGAAATAGTTTTATCAGTTCATGTGAAAGATTAACAGTTTTCAAAAGTTACTCTCCATGAGAGTCAGTGATGGTTAAAAATTATCCAAAATTATCCATTTTCTTCCAATTCCACCAGTTATTATGATGCAGTTCCTGTGTGGACTACACATTTTAAAACAGAGCAGGATAACCAAACAGGCTCAGACTTTATCCTTAACAATTCACTGGTGGGGTGAGACTAAACCATTCCACATAACGCAGCCTTATGTAGCACATGTGGACAGTTCAAAAGTGAACAAGAGTCAGTCTCTGCGCATTTCAATTGCTTAAGGAAAGGACTATTTTTTTTCTTGTTAATCTGTTTCCCCAGGATCTGGCAGTGGGTAGTTAGGAAGTGCCTGAGAAAGGGATGAGTGGGGCTGATTTCGGGGTTCCTCAGCTGAAGAAGGGACTTGGCACGATTTTCCGCAGATGAGGGGGCGGAAGCCTTTGCTGAAGCCTGGGATGGATATACAAGAAACACCCTGGGGACTCCCTGTGTCCAGCCTGCCTGGCAGCAGCTTCGGGACCACACAGAGACCTGAGCTGCCCAGTGTCATAGGACCACGCCTCGCATCCTTCCTCTGACTTCGGCCACCTGCCCACCTGCCAGGGCAGGGAGTCCTCACTTGCAATTTCCCGGTTAGTTAATGGAAATGAGCGTGGAAGACCCAGTGTAGGAGGTCACCTACCCGGATCAGGATGGCAGCCAGACAGCAAGTTCTCAGCCCGCCTCTCTCACCTTGGGCTCCCTCTTCCGTCTGGCTCTTCAGGAAAACAGTTGTTCACAGAAGCTAAACATCAAGCCGGATCCTCTAGTCCCCATTTTTGTGGATTGAGATGAGGAGACCCGAAATCAAAAGGAAAGTGATTTCTGGCTGAGTTAGCAGTTGAGGTTTCCCCACTGTTTCTAAGTAGGCAGGAAAACGGAGTTAGTGGGATAAGGGGGTGGCGGGGAACAGGGCCCTCCACACCCAGCACTGACACCGCCGTGCCTCTTCTCCAAACAAATTGAGTTTGCTGTTCTTCTATCCCCTTGTCCACCCCTAAATCAGGTAAAACTAGCCTTTTGCCATGTCACTGAGAGCGACCACAAGTACTCCCTGGGTTCCCTCCCCCGCACTCCCCTGGAGAGCAGGTCCAATGACTTGGAAATGAGCCCGATGGGGAAAAGCCCTGCATTCTTCGGGAGAAACGATATTGAAACACCTTCACAAGAGTCGGGCCGGGGTGGCCCTCTCTGCGGCTGCAGGGTGCAATCAGGTGGGACAGACGTACCTGAGCAGATCATTTCCAGGCCATCCCTCAGGAAGCACCCCCGATGCCCATCAGCAGCACTTGTCTGGAATGGTTCATTTTAAGTTGAAGAATTTTCTAATTAGTGACTTGGTTTGATTTCACTGTTGGAGTGCTCACTCCAAACCCTCTTCAGTTCCTTTTAAAAGGGAAGTAAGTTATTTTGGGAATGAAGGTTCTCTCTTTCCATTCCT